CCCCCCCCTCTTGGGTCTCACAGGACGCTCCTACACGAGTTGCGTTTTCGCCGGATTCAATCCTCTGTACACTGCGGAGTAGTATCTTGTTTTGGCTGCGCCATGGTACTGGTGGTAGCCTTTTAAAACTCATATTCATAGATCGAGGTCGCGCTGTGGGTCTACTGTAATGTTGTTCGTAAGCCGGTCTAGGTTCTACGGCCAAACATCTTCTTGAGACGAGTAGGTCCTTCGCATCGAACTGGAAGAAACGGATCTTTGTTGCTGATTTAAGAGCGGTGGGTTCACCTGCTTATCACTGCCAAACCAGGTATCGTGCGTATCGTACAACCTCGCCAGTGCTTCGTCCGCCGCATGGAGCAGTTGATCTTGCTCGTTCTTCTCGTACGCATCCTCCAACTTGCTTCCCGCGGCCTCTGTCCTCTTGCTTCGGCCATCGGCGTCGTTGTCAGTCCCTTGTACAGCGGGTGCCGGAGGCAAAGATACCGCAAGTTTTACCGAGGCGGCACTGCCCACAGCTGTTACCTGGGGTGATAGAGAACCATTAGGGGTACTGCTACCAACAGCCTTTATCCCCCTCTCATCGCTTCCAGCAGCAGCAATACCGGCATCTGGAGGAGCAGCTAGCAACATGGCGGTGCTTGTTGCGCTGCTGGCAGCCTGGCCCTGGTAGGATCCCGATACTCCCGTCGCCATCTCGGTCTTCGCAGTCATACGTCAGAGAGTCCTTTCCGTCAGCAGCAGAGCAGCATACGGTAGGGCACAGGAGAAGTCAGGTCTTTACATCCCTTCACCGCACCTACCTGAGCTATGACTGTATGTGATGCGTACTCGTGCGCACTCCCGCACTCACGGGCGTACAATGCGGCGCAATCTCGGGTATGCTCATGGCACTTCACACCAGCTGCTACACACACGCAGGAAGATTGTTCGCCGTCGGTAGGCAGCTCGCCATCAGTCTCTCAGTCTAGAAATATATAGGCATATAGTCTAAGTAAAGAACGTATTTGCCGTCGGTACCCAGCATCTCGAGGACCGACGGCACACGGGACTGTCCACAGACGTCCCATCAGCATCGCTACCTCTGCATCCTGTGTCAACTGCTCTGCACCAGCCCACACTGCTGCACACAAGATGCGTGCAGCTTCACAACACCGCACACCAAGAGAGGGGCGCTCGGCCGTGGTAACACCATTATGTGCCCTCTTGTACCCTGCTTGTTTAGCAGAGCCTCGATGACTGAACCATCCGCAGAGTTCTTGCCAACCCCTTCCAGCTAGCGGTGTGGGACGAATGCCGCAGGACGCGCGCTGTCTGCGCTATCTTGGGGTCCGGGTCCTTGGCGTTGGGAGAGAAACATAGCACCGGCATGGGGGGTCATCCCTGTTCTTTCAAAGGTACACGTTCTCTGACAAAAAACATGATGAAGCTGTCGCTCCGCAACATCCAATCGCTCCATCAAGGCCAACGGGAATGAATCGACTTCGTCAACGACGTCAAGCCATCCGTGTTGACGTTGTCGCCCCTCTGAGAGCCAGAGCCGCCGCCTTTCTCTACCCAGGGAAAATGCTTCGGAGGGCACCAAATGCGTTGATGTCAACATTATGTCGTTCGTTCAAGACAGGAGGACTTCATCGATGTAACATTCGCTGCGAGGTTGCTTTTCACCGCCATACGTACCTGGTCAGCACGGACAGTGAGAATAAACAAGCAGTGGTGTCGCGAATTCCACGTAATGGTACTCATGACATGGCACTCACGACAGAAGAAGTACCGGCCGAGAATGGCCTTGGACTCTGGGCATGTTGTGATGCTTGATTGCCTGGCAGGACGGTCATAGTCGTGAATACATTATTGGCACCAGCTTGCAGAAGGCATGGATGGATGGACGCGGTCATTTCTCTTATTTCATTGTGTGCCAACAGGTAGGTAGGGGAAGCTGGCCGAAGCAAACGTAGCCGTCGAGCACTGTGACCGAGCAGTATATAGGTATTGCACAGCTACCTAAGATGTGTCCAAATGTGCTTCGATGAGGTCAATACTTGACCCACAGTGCTGCTGCACTTTGACCAGGCTCGACCTCCACTGAAAAGTCTCGTTTGTATTTCGGTTGAAGCGGACCGTCACTTCACCACCACACACCGACCACCAGACACATATACATACGGTTAAAAAGACTTACTGTTTCACTCTTTGCTCCTTGGCAAAACAACACTACCTTCCGATAATGCACGCACGCACATTTCATAGGGTTTTCTACGAGTGAAGCGACTCACCGCTTCAGTGCGAACAAGCACGAACAACCACCACACAAATCTTCTGTCGGTATGTTTTACCCCAACTCGAATACCGTTTGGCTACCACGCTGCCACACAAAGACTCCATGTCTCCCAATATCTTGCTGCAAGAAAGCGAGGTTGACCACCTCTTACCTAAAACAGCTACTAATCACAACGTTTTCTCCAGCAAAAGGTAGAGCACCGGGTAAAGTGCTGCTGCAACACACTCAAGCAAGGAAGAGGGCTGCACTAGAAGCGGAACGACATGGCTTACTTCTGCGTCACACTGCGGTCCGCGTGCATCACATTGATTGTAATTGAGGCCATATCGTCGTCGATCTCGAACCTATTGTCTTCCCAAGAAGGCCCCACCCGCGCTTGTACGGGATCGTGTAGTCGTCGGCCTGGTGGAGGTGGACGGGATTGATGGGATGACTGTTTAGCATGTATTTTTCATCCTTCGTGTGCTCCACCGATTCTCGTTCCACATGATTAAGTCACCAGGGCCGCGGGGACGCCAACAACATCGGTTGTGTTATTTTTCCATCATATGAAACGCCGTTGCGGGTATGGCACCAAATTCCCCCATCTAAAACACCATCGCACATACGTGCATCACCTCTCATACCCTCTTCTCCGAAACCTACATCCACAACACCTACACCACTTCACCGCAAAGCCGACACGGCACCAAGCCCCATCGTGACAATACACAATCAAAGTGGTTCTTCACCTCTTGTGTCGTCACGATGTAACCGATGTCTCCCAGGGTGGCACATGAGAGTTTTGACAGTAGCATTCCACTCTGGAAGATTGCGACGGGAAAGGGAGTCATGGATGGCGGGAACGTACGCGGAAAGGGGAAGAAGCGAAGGAGATGTGGGTGGCATGGGCGAGGAAGATTAAGGGGCGGCGGAGGAAAACCCACCCGCGCTACATGGAGGAATGGCAGTAGGGGTTGGGATGGGTGGCAGCGTTTGGGCGTCATATTATTAAGCAATATATTGAACAGAATCGTCATGGACGGAAAAACCGGTGATTTGTGGCTGCCGGGTGGCAAAATTTAAAGCAATAACATTGTTCAAGCGCTGTGGTAATGCAAACGACATTAGGAGCTACCGACTTGACGCTATACAAAAATGAAGATCGTTTGGAGGGAGTTAGTGGAGTAAAATATAATACATGAGGTCGTGAGGTTTCCTTGAAAGTCGATCATGGCTTCTACAGTAGTGATCCCGTGTCCCCCAAAAATGTGTCGGTCGTCTTCGTCTAGCTCTCAATGACATTGTTCGATGGTCATCAGGTGAGGGTGGTCGATACAGTCACAATACGAGCACCCACCTACATTCGTGTTGACAACTACGTACACCCAACTCTCACCGGCGTTACGTAGCCGGTCATCAATTCGTCCTCGAATATCTCTTGCGAGAGGTGCTCACAGGCGGTTCCTGGAGATAGGCGGAAAGATCGGCACCAAGAACGGATCGGGACGTGCCTCATCCGAGAAAAAGTCGCCCATCTGTCCCTCTAGTCGATGTGACGAACAATGTTTTCACCATGATTCACAGGCAGGTGACGTTGGCATATTTGCTTGTGGCAATATCACCATCACCATCTGCGTCCAGGTCGCACTCCTCCCGAATGATTGAACCACCTGTTCATATATTGATACTACGCCAAAGCCAGGTAGTCTATTCCCCAAAGATTTTCAAATGGAACCCCCCGAACAAGTATCCTTAGGTCAAGCATGCCACGGCCACATCGGAAGTTCTGAATCAGTTTAACATTAGCGCATCTGCAAATCGTTGGGTTGACCTTATGCTGGTGACAGGCACAGAGAATGGCACCTCACCGGCAGCAAGTAGTACAAGTATCAATAATCGTGACGGTAGGTGATTGGCTTACCGGAACCGCCCTCCATTTAGGTTATTTCTGCATCCTCCATCGGAATCTGTCAGCTGTCCGAAAACGGCAGCGGCTGCAGGACAGTACCAGTTGCCATCGACGCCTGAGCTGGCGTATCAGTTGGAGCACTCACCCCACAGTGTCCTGCTCAAATGAAATACCATTCATACCGTATTTGTGGGAAGGTTCCTTTTGAGTAGTTTTAACATATCTGAGGACGAATTCTGTTGGTCAGCATGCCACTTCAAGAGATGTAACACGATTTCGCGCCCGAGGATAACTTCTGTCTGTGCTGACGTGTGAGTGGGAAGTCAGTGTACAGCAGTGCTTGGCGTGCCGGGTGAAATCAATTCACGGTCGAAGGATTAAATTGAATTAATGGCAACAAATATGTCGTACTCACCCAATGCCAATGGCGTGTCCCATTTCGTGCGCGACAGCGCCCTCGAAGGATCCCTTGTCCACCATCGCCTCCACGTCGGCAGTATCGAACTCCTGAACAGCATTGTACCACAATATTCATCAGCAATTGTTTGTTTCGATATTTGCCATATGAAAATGCGCGAAGGCTCCGCTTGCACGAGACTGCGCTGAAACGCTCTGGAGGTAAGCTCGCTGCCGTGACGGGACAGGACAATGTCTAGGCACGGAAACACCTGGGGTTGTTTGGAAGCACTAGACCAATCTGTGCGAGGGGTGAAGGTGATAATGTACCAGGAGCTTAGAATTGGAACGTGGCGGCAGTGTGCTTGCACAAGATAGTCCAACACCATCGTGTCTCAGAGAGCGTCACATCATCCATTCTTTTATTCTTTGTACAGAGTTGAGCCGTTTGGCATACGGTAGCCCTGACACCGGTTCTTTCAGAAATCTCACAGTATCTTGAAGAATACCTGCAACCATTACTACTGTACATGGAAAACGTTTCACTCTCCGCCAATTTCACTACGAACAGTTTAAACAACAAAACATGTCCCCAGTATGGCGTGGATTCCGTGGTGGGTTGTGCCCACATACCATTTTTCCGCTGTAGATGATGCTTGAGTATTCTCCCCAAGTTTCCGTCGGTCCTGCACAACCGAGGACTCCACCTTTACCATCCTTTGCGACGATAGTCACCGAGATTAGAAGCCTGTCAGCAGGTGTGCTTGGGGCGCCGCCGCCCGGGGTGTAGAGGATAAGCCTCTCCCATCTGTTCGAGGTGTTGGCGTAGGTGGTTCAGTGCAGGGAAAGCAGCGAGGAGTGAGTGAGAGGGGGACGATTTCATGGAGTACAGCAAGCAGGGTATGGTGTGTGCGTGAGGATCATTCCGGCGGGGACGGGCGACAAGAGGATAGTCTACGTTAATCTATTATTTCAGTGTGCCCTTCAGTGCACGTGCAAACAAGCACTCTTTGTTCATCGCAAACTCTCGTCTTCAAGTATCGAGTTCATCACCTACCTGGCCGCTGACCGCTGGGAAATTGCCTTGAGGTCATCAGTGAAGTTTTCTCCTTCGACGTCGAGCTCGAAATACCATTGGGGCAAGCCTTGCATCGTTAGAAAAAACAACAAAATATTGTTGTCCATTGTATTTCCTGCCCAGAGAACTTAGGATCCAACGCTTCGGGATTCATTAAGTAGTGATCAGTCGAGAGCTGGTTGATACCCAGCCCCAGCCAGCACTATGT